GCATCAGGGTGAATAAATGGAATTTCCCAGAACTTCACATAAGTGGCAGGGGCAGTCCTCTTTCCTCCCCAGTGAACTCCCTTGGCTTTTGCTATGCACGCCCCATCCCCCGCCAAAAAAACCTCCAGAAAACTCCACAACCTTGGGAACATGTGTGTGGTCTTCTCTCCAGTCTCCATCTTTCTCAGGTACCTGGTGATGCCCCCACTTGCTTCCTCTCTTACTGACTTCGAGGTCTGAGCTCTCCCCCAGGCGCCAGCTCTGGGCCACGATTATTTTGGTAGTTGAGTCACCCCAGCAGGGAGCTGGAGGAAGAGGGGATTATAGGCTTCCCCCTCAGGCTTCATGGCCACACAGATTCACATTACTGTAAATTGCAGTGTTTCACTCAGAGGACACTTACTTTTAATAAAATGACTCTCTTCTGCAGTTTGATTTAGCTGAATGAAACACATTTTGAGCTCCTGCTTTTGCTTTAAATACTATTTGAATAGCAGTATTTGAAAAAGAAAATGCTGAAGAATAGAATCTTTTCTGTAAAATAGAAGGCAGATACCGAACAGAGCCAGAAGAAGCTAGTGATCAAGATTCTGGTCATGAGAGGGGCGCCTGGGTGGCTCAGTTGGTTAGGTGACTGCCTTTGGCTCAGGTCATGATCCCAGGGTCCTGGGATCGAGCCCCGCGTCAGGCTCCCTGCTCGACGGGGGGCCTGTTACTCCCTCTCCTTCTGCCGCTCTCCTGCTCTCTCTCTCTGCCAAATAAATAAAATAAATAAATAAAATCTTTAAGAAAAAAAAAGTCTGGTCATGAGAACAGAAACCAGGTCTCAGAGGATCAGAGGGAAGAAGAACCAGAAAGGCAGAATATTTGATAGATCTGGCCATCAGAAGGAGGAAGAAAACAGAATGGTGGCCAGAAAGGAATAGTATATCTAAGGGGTTTCTTTGGAAATTGGGAGATCCATGGATACCACATAAAATTACTTATGAAAGTACAGTTTGAAGAAAATTAATCCATTAATCTTTGAAATAATATAATTTTTAAAAAAGATTTTATTTATTTGGGGGAGCAAGAGAGAGAGAGCATGAGCATAGGGAGGGGCAGTGGGAGAGAGAGAAGCAGACGCCCTGCCAACCAGGGAGCCCAGTGTGATGCAGGGCTTGATCCCAGGACCCTGAGATCATGACCTGAGCCAAAGGCAGATGCTTAACCGACTGAGCCACCCAGGCACCCCTGAAATAATGTAATTTTTAAAATTATTTAATTTTATTTATTTAAATTAAAATTTAAAATGATATCTGTTAAAACACCAGAAACCCTATTTCTTCACTCTTCTGTCTCCATCTCGAACACGTGTGTGGTTACTGAGTATGCGTGGTCAGGGCTCACATAAGCTCAGGAAGCGCTTATGTACCTGGTAGTATGTTGGGGCTATAACAAGACGTCAGTCCCCAGGTGAGATGTGAACAAGGTCATTGTTTGTATATTCCAGCCACTGACATTTCCTTTCGCTTTTTTTTTTGCTATGGTTTCCACCAAGACTTGTGTTTTCCAAATATGAAATCAGAATTCTGTCTTTGCTTTTTTCAGGCACACACATGCTAAATCTCTACCCCTCCTGCATTTCTGATCTCTTTTTCCTCCCCAATTGGGGTGGGCTGGGGTGATGGGTCCTTACGCTCCAGGGTCAAGTTCACTGGGTGCCATGTTAGCAGCATTTGTCTGTCTTTAGCTCCTCTGGAGGTCAGTGGGTTCATAGGAAGTAATAGATAACTTAGGCAGATGGAGGCTTTAGGCCAAGTGAAGCAGGGGTCGTTGTTTTTTTAAGTGTTAATATGAATAAGTGCAGCAGTTCTTGAAGTAGCTATGGGGACCCCTGGAGGTCTCTCTGGAGAACCTTTTAGAGGGTCTGCAAAGTCAATACTATTTTTGTAATATTATTAAGACAGTACTTTTTCCATTCTCTTTCATGAACCTAAAGTAAAATTTTCCAGAGGCTATATGACGTGTGACATCACAACAGATTGAATATATGATATATGAGAATTTCATAAAAATGTTATTTATATTAACATGTAATGGGCTTATTTTTTTCAGTTTATTGTGATAAAATACACATAACATAAAATTACTCTTAACTATTTTTAAGTGTGCGTTTCAGTAGTATTGAATACATTTATATTGTGCAACCATTACCATCATGCATCTCCAGACCTATTTTCATCTTGTAAAACTGAAACTCTGTATCCATAAATACTAATTCCCCATTCCTTCCTTCCCCCATTCTACTTTCTGTCTCTATGAATGTGAACTCTCTAGGAACCTCATAAAGTGGAATCATGTAAAAAAAAAAAAAAAAAAAGTGGAATCATGTAGTACCTGTCCTTTTGTGTCTGGCTTGTTTCATTTAACATAGTGTCCTCAAGGTTCATCCATGCTATAGCATGTGTCAGAATTTCCTCCCTTTTTAAGACTGAAAAATATTCTACTGTATGGAGACACTACATTAGGCTTATCCATTCATCGCTCTGTGGACGCTGGGGTTACTTCCACATTTTAGCTATTGTGAATAGTGCTGCTATGAATGTGGGTGTACAAACATCTATTTAAGTCCCTGCTTTTGGTTCTTCTGGGTACATACCCAGAAATGGAATTGCTTGATCATATGGTAATTCTATTTTTAATTTTTTTGAGGAACTCTGTACTGTTTTCCACAGCAGCTGTACCATTTTACATTCCTACCAACAGTGCACAAGGTTTCCAGTTTCCCTACATCCTTATTGCTTGTTGTTTTCTGGGAGGTTTTTTTTTTTAAGATTTTATTCATTTATTTGAGACAGAATGAGAGAGAGAGAGAGAGAGCACATGAGGGGGGGAGGGTCAGAGGGAGAAGCAGGCTCCCTGCCAAGCAGGGAGCCCGATGCGGGACTCGATCCCGGGACTCCAGGATCATGACCTGAGCCGAAGGCAGTCGCTTAACCAACTGAGCCACCCAGGCGCCCCTGTTTTGTTTTTTTATAGTAGCCATCTTGATGGGTGTGAAATGGTATGTTGGAGTTTTGGTTTGCATTTCCCTAATGATCAGTGATGTTGAGCATCTTTTCTATGTGGTTACTGGCCGTTTGTACAGTTAACCCTTGAACTACATGGTTTGAATTGGGCAGGTTTACTTATACGTAGATTTTTTTCTTTAAATGCAGTAGAGTACTATATTTTCTCTTATCATTTTTGTAATACATTTTCTTTTCTCTAGCTTACTTTATTGTAAGAACACACCCAACATAGAAAATATGTGTTAACTGTATTATCAGTAAGGCTTCCCATCAACAGTAGGCTATTAGTAAAGTTTTGGGGGAGTCAGAAGTTATTCATGGATTTTCAGCCTGGAGGGGGCAGTGCCCCTACCCCCATATTGTTCAGGAGTCCACTGTAGATCTTCTTTGGGGAAATGTCTCTTCAGGTCCTTTGCCCATTTTTTTTTTTTTTTAAGATTTTATTTATTTATTCATGAGAGAGAGAGAGGCAGAGGGAGAAGCAGACTTCCCACAGAGCGGGGAGCCCGATGCGGGACTCGATCCCAGGACTCCGGGACCATGACCTGAGCCGAAGGCAGACGCTTAACCATCTGAGCCACCCACCCAGGCGCCCTCCTTTGCCCATTTTTCAATTGGGTTTTTTGTCGTTGAGTTGTAGGAGTTCTCTCTATATTCTTGATATTAATCCCTTCTCAGATCTATGATTTGTAAGTATTTTCCCCATTCTCTGGGTTGCCTTTTTACTCTATCGATATTGTCTTTTGATGCACAGAGTTTAAAAATTTTTGTGAAGTCTAATTTGGCTATTTCTTTTGTTGTCTGTGCCTTTTGTGTCATATCTAAGAAATCACTGCCCAGTCCAGTTTTGTGAAGCTTTTACTGTATGTTTTCTTCTAAAACATTAGAAGAAATTTAAAATTCAAAACTAGTTTTAAATCTTACATTTCGGTGTTTGGTCCATTTTGCGGTAATTTTTGTAGATGATGTTAGGTAAGAGTTCAGTTTCATTCTTTTGCATGTGGATACCCAGTTTTCCCAGCACCATTTGTTGAATATTATGTTGAAATGAATCTTACTATGTTCAATACTTATTTTTACAATTTTTCAGTTTTCATTTGTAATAAGGTAAATATTAATAGATATAACCCACATTTGGGATCATTAGTAATCTTTAAGAGTGTAAAGGGAACCAAAAAGTTTGAGTACTACTGACATAGAAGATCTCCAAGCACTTTCCCCAGACTTTTACTCCCTTTCTTCAGTGGTGCTTCTTATTGGATCTGGTCCTGAAGGATGCACAGTAGGAATACAGCCTCATCAGTGTGGGGTTAGATCATTTGTTGTCCTGGACCTCAGTTGCAAAGCTGAGTTAATTATGTTCTCCAGTTCCTGGCAAAGCCTCTTTCTTCACTTATGTTCCCTTTCATCCCCTGTTGTTAACCCTCTCCCCCCATTCTGGATGTCCCTTGTTCCTAGAAGTCACTTTTATTCTAGAAAGGACAACATACCAGATAAGGACGCTGCTGCAAGTCCACTTAGTAAATATTAGTAAAACTGATTTTTTTTTTTTTTAAGATAAGTTTGTATGACTAGAAGCTATAGTTCTTTCTTTCTGTATCTTAGTGGCTTGTTAAGACTGCTTGGGGTTTAGTCACCCCTTTTTGAACAAAGGTGACCAGGTAATCCATTTGTTGTCTCCGTACATGTTTCACTTGGCCTACAGATTGCTGTGGAACTAGTTCCTTTTCCTTCTTTAACTACCTAAAGATCTTTTCTATTTTTTTTTTAATAAAATGTTTTTAAAGTTTTAGATTGAACTCCAACCTATTAGTTCATATATTTACTTAATTATCAAACTCTTACTGTGTGCAAGACACTCTGAGCAAGGCATTCTGGGCTATATAATCTGTAAAAGCTGTACATACTGCCCTTGGATCCCAGAGTCAGATAAAATTAAAATATTGGATTGCTTCTCAGCCTTTTGACTAAGAGCAAGTGTAGTATCTGTTCCTCTCAGTTTAATATCTGATACATCCTCTGTCTGAGGACAATACATTAAATGGATTTGGGGAACTAGGAAATGGAATAGGAGCTTGCTCCGTCCACTCCATGCATTGACCTGGTATTGCAGTACTTCCAGGAATGGTGCAACCACCACCACTCCTGCCCTTGGATTAAAATTTAAAAACTAAAAAAAAAAAAAAAAAAAAATTTTTTTTAATTTAAGTATTGCCAAATAGGGAATAGATCTTCATTGTCCTACGTTTTTAGAAGTGTTTTCATTATATAATCAATCTCTCTCTGTTTCTCTCATGTCCCACATGTCTGGGCATTTACAAAACTATTACCAGTTAGTCTATAGTTACCAAATTTATAAAATCTATAAATATTTATTAATTTATTTTTTTCTAGGTTGCAATAAAAATAATTGACAAAACTCAGTTGAATCCAACAAGTCTACAAAAGGTAAGATTGGTTCGGTATCCAGTATTTTTTAAAATGATTTTCAGTGCTAATTGCCATCTAATTGGTCCCACCAATACCTCAACTGCTATTTGTATATATTATGTTTAGTACAATAAGCTTCCTATTTCTCGATGAATGCAACTTAGGTGTAGTATTATATGAAAAGTTGTTGGATTTTTTTCCTTCAGATGAAGATAATGGTTTTTAAACGTTCTTAATAGCACAAATGGAAGACTGTACATTTTAATTGAATATTCTGACTATTGACTAGAACAGAGTTTTTAAACATAAGACAAATACTTTTGTGTAATTACTCTTATGCAGAGTTATATACCTTTCTCATAGCTAGTACTGAGGTCTTTAAAGTCAGCACTTTGGCTTTATTAAACTCTGTCACTATGGCTAATTAAGGACTGATGATTAATACATATGAAAGGAAAATATAAAAATACAAATGATAGTTGAAAACATGGTTGTAATGCACTGTTGCGAGTTGTATCATCTAACGGAGATCAGAAGTCCTCAACCTTGTTGCATGTTAGAATCACCTGGACCTCTTTGCAATGTCTTGATGACTGGCCCAGAGAGATTTAATTGCTCAGGTTAGGGCCTTGGCATAGGTATTTCACTGGTGCATTCGTGAATGATTAATGATCTTCATAATAAAATGCTTCTAGTTCTTTTTAGTCTTGCAAAGCCTTTTACATCATTTGATTTCTAGATTTGGCCTATAGTAGTTGGGGTTTTAGAGACTAGGAACTAGGAACAGGAAATCTGAATTAAAATCCTGGGTCTGCCACGTAATCAAATGTCTAACTTGACCTTGAGCCAATTACTTAACTTTCTTTTTTTTTCCAGTTAACTTTCTTGACCCCAGGTTTCTGGTCTTCAAAATAGAGATAATTTCATCTTCTCAGGATGGATGTATTAATAAAATAATGCACTTAAAAGAGCTTTGTAAACTTCAAAGCATTTCACATGTAAGATATTATAAGTGTATTGCCCTATATAAATTCCTGATGTTTTCTTAATGGTTTTCCATTTATATCATCATAATTTTGAAGTCCTGTCCGTGTGTGTGTGTGTGTGAGACAGAGAGAGAGAGAGGTGGGGAGGAAGGGACTTTATCTTGCACTAAAAATGGTACTTAACAAGTGGTTCTGCAGGCCAGAGTGAGTCTTAATGGCACTCAAGGTGGCCTGGAATGGATCCAAAAATTCCAGTCCTTTCTTCTGAGGATAAAACTGTATCCATTACTTTAAACTTTTATTTCTTCATATATCTAAGGACTTGGCATTAATAAGTAAGTTAGGGGTTACTAAAATTTGGTATTCAGAACTAAAATTAGCATATAAAGAAGTTTACTGAGGGTTCTAGTTCAGTATCCTAATGATGTTACAAGTCTTCCACTGTTCAGGCATCCTTGCGGATAACTGGAATTCTAGCAGTTTTCTAGGGAGAATTTTATCATGGTTTTGTCTTTAGTTGGTTGTAATTTTTCCCTCCTTCCTTGCTTTTTTTTCATTATTTTGGGTAAGAGTGTTTTATTGCTGCTATTCTTTATTATTATTACAAATTACTGTTTGTAAACATCATTATCAGTTTAGTACATGATAAGTTGTTTGGTTAGCCTGATAATGTGACTATGCATATTTATATCAGCATTAATTTGGGCACATGATAATAATAGGTAAGACTTTAAGAAGCCAGATCTGTCCAAGTTAAATAACTTGATAAGTGTAGTATTTTAAGCTTATAGGGCATTTTATTTTTTATTTTTCTATTGAAGTATAATTTACATATAGTGTTACATTTCAGGTGTACATTATAATGATTCAGCAGTTCTATGCATTATTCAGTGCTCATCACGATAAGTATACTCTTAATCCCCTTTGTCTTATTCATCCATCCCCCACGCACCTCCTCTCTGGCAACCACCAGTCTGTTCTCTGTATTTAAGAGTCTGTTACTTTGGAACACCTGGGTGGCTCAGTTGGTTAAGTGTTCAACTCTTGGTTTTGGCTCAGGTCATGATCTCAGGTTGTGGGATTGAGCCCCCTGTCGGGTGGGCTCCACACTCTGTGCAGAGTCTGTTTGTCCCTCTCTCTGCCCTCTGCCTCTCCCCTTGCTCTCTCTCTAAAAATGAATAAATAAAATCTTTTTTTTTTAAGTGTTGTTTGTCTCTTTTTTCTTTGTTCATTTGTTTCTTAAATTCTACATATGAGTGAAATCATGTGGTATTTGTCTTTCTCTGACTTCACTTAGTATTATACTTTCTAGGTCCATCCATGTTGTTGCAAATGACAAGATCTTGTTCTTTTTTTATGGCTGAGTAATATTCCTGTGTGTGTGTGTGTGTGTGTATACGTGTGTACATCTTCTTTACTCATTCATTTGTGAATGGATACTTGGGTTACTTCCACATCTTGGCTATTGTAAATAATGTTCCAAGAAACATACAGGTGCATATATCTTTTCAAATTAGTGTTTTCATTTTCTTTGGGTAAATATCCAGTGGTGGAATTACTGGATCTTATGATAATTCTATTTTTAATTTTTTGAAGAACCTCCATGCTGTTTTCCATAGTGGCTGCACCAGCTTTCATTCCCACCAGCAGTGCATTAGGTTTCCTTTTTCTCCATGTCCTCTCCAACTTTTGTTTTTTGTTGTCCTTTTGATTCTAGCCATTCTGACAGGTGTTAGGTGATATCACATTGTGGTTTTGATTTGCATTTCCCTGATGCTGAGCGATGCTGAGCATCTTTTTCATGTGTCTGTTGGCCATCTCTATGTCTTCCTGGGAAAAATGTCTATTCAGATCCTCTGCCCATTTTTATTGGATTATTTTTAGTTTTTGGTGTTGGGTTTTATAAGTTCGTTATACATTTTGGATATTGACTCCTTATTGGATATATCATTTGCAGATATTTTTTTCTCATTTGGTAGGTTGTCTTGTTGATGGCTTCCTTTGCTGTGTGTGTAAAGGCATTTTATTTTGGTATAATCTCAGTAGTTTAATTTTGCTTTTGTTTCCTTTGCCTGAGGAGACAGATCTAGAAGAATGTTTCTATGGTTGATTTCAAAGAAATTATTGCCTATGTTTTCTTCTAGGAGTTTTATAGTTTCAGGTCTCATATTTAGGCCTTTAATCACTTTTGAGTCTATTTTTGTGTTGTGTAAGAAAGTGGTCCAGTTTCATCTCTCTCTCTCTTTTTTTTTTAAGATTTATTTATTTACTTGAGAGAGCGAGAATGAGAGAGAGTACAGGAGAGGGGGGAGGGTCAGAGGGAGAAGCAGGCTCCTCGCTGAGCAGGGAGCCCGATGTGGGACTCGATCCCGGGACTCCAGGATCATGACCCGAGCCGAAGGCAGTTGCTTAACCAACTGAGCCACCCAGGCGCCCTCATCTCTTTTTTTTTTTTTTGAGGAACCTCCATACTGTCCACTTTCATCTTTTGCATGTAGTTGTCTAGTTTTCCCAGCACCATTTATTAAAATATAGGGCATTATTTTAAATCATGTGTATTAGTTCATATTCTTTTCTTATAAATTGGAAGCATTCTCTGTATATTCCTGTACAATTGTTTTTCACTGAATTTCTTTTCCATGGAAAAGTTGCCACAGGGTGGAATTTACATGGCGTCTTTTCTTTTCTTTTCTTTTTTAAAGATTTTATTTATTTATTTATTTATTTGACAGAGAGATAGCGAGAGCAGGAACACAACGGAAGTGGGAGAGGGAGAAGCAGACTCCCCGCTGAGCAGGGAGCCCGACGCGGGGCTCGATCCCAGGACCCTGGGATCATGACCTGAGCCGAAGGCAGACGCTTAACTGCTGAGCCACCCAGGCGCCCCAATATGGTGTCTTTTCCCTTGGAATAGTACTTCCTGCTTTTTTCTTCCTCAGCGCCATGCACAGTTGTATCACATCTGCATTAGGAACAGCTCTCTTTATATTGTGATTTTAAGCCTTGAAGCTTATACATTTCTCAGTGCTTATCATGGTGAGCCCCAAGTAATGTACAGAATTGTTGAATCATTGTATTCTATACCTGAAACTAATACAGCACTTAGAAGGTAACGTTCACTTTAAGGAACATTCTGCCGGCAACAAAATGTAATCTTTTTGTACTGCCACTATCAAAAAATCTGGACTGGCTCATTTAAGGAGTGTTTTAACACAGGTGTTAAAATAGCGTCCATTTCAACATGTTCAAATTATTCAGGCTTGCACACTGAGTTGTGCACATTTGCGAACTAATGTTACTTTCACAGACAGGTTTCTTCATTTTTCCCTTTTATTTTTCCAGCCATTGCATTAATAAATGTTAGATTCTAGTAAGAGATATTTTTCTGCATTGTTTTTGTGCTTCTCAACTTCAAACTACTACTCCTGAGATGTTTTCTGTTTATAAATGTTTTAGATCAGCCTTTTTTATTTTTCTTAAGGTCAGCCTTTTTAATGTTGTGTACCTATAGTGGTTTTGAAAGCAGCAGGTATAAAATATGTTAGTCTTCTTTTTGGGTTTACAAAGTCATTTTTAACTTCGGTTTGGTTATGTATGAGTAATTTTGCTGGGTCTTGTTTTAGTTTGTCGTTAAGAAGCAAGTAATGGCTCATTTTTAAAAATATGTTTACCTGGGCGCCTGGGTGGCTCAGTTGGTTAAGCGACTGCCTTCAGCTCAGATCATGATCCCAGGGTCCTGGGATCGAGCCCCTCATCGGGCTCCCGGCTCAGCGGGGAGCCTGCTTCTCCCTCTGACCCTCTCCTCTCTCATGCTGTTTCTCTCTCACTCGCTCTCTAATAAATAAATAAAATCTTTAAAAAAAAAAAAATGTTTACCTATTCAAAAATGCTAGTCTCTGTTAAAAGACATGCCAGTATACTCAGTGTAACCCATCTAAAGTTATTATTGTTCTTTTTCAGTCTTGGAGTAGAATGTTAACGTAAAGAGAGTGTATAGAGTGATGGTTAGGAACACTGTGAAGCCAGGCTGCA